TGCCGCGTGAAGTCTCAGCATCTACAAGATGAAGAGCACAGCGGGAATTTGGGCAGTGGAAGGCGTCTGGTTACAGACCGCAAACCAACATTTGCAGGATTCGTACAAATATTTGACAGGATTGTGTCCGTGAGTGGTGGCTTAGTGGTCAGTTGTCCTAGCGGGGGGGGGGGGGGGGCGGGACAGGAGCAGATGGATGAAGCTAAGATAAATGACATGTGAAAGTCATGCATAAAGGCTAAGATGCTAACATACTTTTAGCATTTTCTATGCCATCTGTTGGGGAAACATTTGTATTTCAGGGAAAAGGCAGAAGTGTTATGATAATATCAATCAATTTGGAAAAGTTTGGCGGGCCCGATTTAAAAAGCTAAACGGGCCGCATCCGGCCCCCGGGCCTTAGTTTGCCCATGTCTGGTCTGGAAGGTTTCAGGTTTGAGTCCACTCCGGCTGCCAGGTTACCACTGAGGTGCTCTGCAGCAAGGCACCATCCCTTCACTTTGGTGATGGTTAAAAAGTAGAAATCACATTTTTGTTGTGTGTGCTGGTGCAGACAAATCATTCACTTTCCACTTTTCTTTCTTTCTTTCCTGTTGGCTCTGGTACGGATTAGCATTGTCCACAAAAATAACCTTGGAGCCCAAACTGGTATTGATGATGCACCACGTTATATCCACCATTACCTCAGCTTGTAGTCCGGTGGTTGAAGCATCCGTCTTGTGATCAGGGGACTGCTTGGTGGAATTCCTGCCCGGTTTACGGTGTCATGGGCAATCACCAAGAACTCTCCCCCGAGTCCGGGTTTCTCACAGTGCTGCTGTTTCGTAGAGGACAAACTTATGCCAAGAAGAGGCAAAAAAAAAAAAAAAACAACCAACTTTTAAGGCGCTAATTGCGCCACTTGATCCTTTTTGAACCATAGCCTTATTTGCTTCTCAAACTGGTTCCCGTGGTACTTCCCAGTTGTAAAACCAGCCAAGGAAAGTCTTAGAATTTACTGGACCTTCATGAAGATACAGTAGGTCTTCATCATCCTAGAAGGTTTGATTATTTGCTTTCAAGATATTGATATTTTATATTTTAAGATGCTAATCGCTAGGGCTGAAGTAAGGACCATAGAAGTACTGTGCCATATAACTACAGCCATTTAATCAAAAGTAGTAAATATATATCATATAGTATTCAATGTAGGTAGATCACTTTACCCCGATCATTTGAAAAGTAGCTCCCAAGCCTAGAATATAGGACAGCAACCTTTAGGCTCCAGTTCATTCAGAGATATCTGACCAAATCCGAACGTCCTGCGTGAAGGGATGCGGCTAGCTGCGTTTTCGGATGTGTCGATAAGTAAAAAAAAATCGCGTTTGTTTTTTTCCCCCGAGTGCGTGAGGTTTGAAGGAGCTTTTGTTTAATATTTCTAACCCATTTTTTTTTTTAATGTTTTTTCATGGAGTTAAAGGGTGGCGCTGTTAAGTTTATCCCGGAATATCGTGTTTATCTTTCGTACCGAATAGACTTGATTTTGACAGTAACGCTGTTCTATCTAGAACAGGCGTGGGCAAACTTTTTGATTCACGGGCCACAGGTGGTCCTAAAATTGAACAGGGGGGCCGGGTCGGGAGCAGACAGATAGATAGATTACATGTAAAACTCATGCATAATAAGGATAATTAGCTAAACTGCTTTTATCATTTTCTACGCCATCTATTGGGGAAACATGGGTATTGCAGGGGAAAGGCAGAAGTGTTATGATATATTATAAATTATATAATTTGGAAAAGTTCCAATCCGGGCCGGATTAAAAAGCTGAACGGGCCGCATCTGGCCTTAGTTTGCCCACGCCTGGTCTAGAACATGGATCAGTGACATTCTCTGACTCTGTGAGGGGCGGTTAAAATGTCATCTCGCCGTAACTGTTTTCTCATGTTTTTAGGTTGAGGGGTCAACTGTTCAACTGTACAAAAGGATTTGGCCTCACCTCCTCCCTCTCCCCCCCTCCGCCCCCCCCCTTCACCACCTTCTCCTCATGTCTCATGTGTTTACAGGAATGTCACTGAGCTGTGTTAATCTGTTCGAACCAAAGTATCCAAACAGCTTCGGGCTAAATCAGATTTCAGAGGAATCTGAAGTCTTAGCAGATTTAAATTAAAAAAGTGGAAAATTGCAAAAAAGTGCAAAAAAAAATGCAAATTTACCTTCAGAAAAGCAGAAAAAAAATAAAAAAATAAACTCAATAAATTAATGTTTAATTATCTGTGTGCTCAGTGCGAGCGGATAAAATCATTGACGCGTCGCTATCTCAAAACGGCTTCAGAAGGAAAAGATAAAGAAGAAGAAAAGTCACAAAGTTTCCATCAACGTAATCAATGCTCCTATCTGATGAATCCACATTTAACATAAACCTCCGCCACAAATGGGAATTCATAAAACCTTCTGGCAACCCTGACATTAGTGAAGCACTGGAGGCCCCGCAGCCGAGCAACTGGAGGCTGCAGCCACACACACACACACACGCGCACGCCCGCGCACACACTCCTCCTTCTAGGTCAACATACCTGATAAACAGGTACATTTGGCCAGGGCCCAGGGGGTGAGTGTGTCACGTAGCTTACGGGAAACTTAACAAATAGTGCCAAAAAAAAAAAAAAAAAAAAAAAAACCAGGGAGAAAGAATGGGGCGGAGCCTCTGGAGTGTGACCTCAGTGCATTGTTGCCTGGTAAACACACTCATTATGCCCTTCCCTGCAGTTACTGATTAAACACTTTCAGTTTTGCCCGACACAATTACCCAGTGTAATGTAATAGGACTGGACAGACTGGGTTCACTGGGAGAGAGGGGACGGTTACTGCAGTGACATGGGACTGTAGTGTCTCCGCACATACTGCAGTAGGGTCCGCACATACTGAAGTAGTGTCCTCACATACTGCAGTACTGACTTCCCATACTGCAGTACTGACTTCCCATACTGCAGTACTGACTTTACATTCTACAGTACAGACTTCACATACTGTACTACTGACTTCACATACTGCAGTAGTGTCCTCACCTACTGCAGTAGTGTCCTCACGTACTGTAGTAGTGTCCGCACATACTGCAGTAGTGTCCTCACATACTGCAGTAGTGTCCTCACATACTGCAGTACTGACTTCCCATACTGCAGTACTGACTTTACATTCTACAGTACAGACTTCACATACTGTACTACTGACTTCAGATACTACAGTAATGACTTTGCATACTGCAGTAATTACTTTACATTCTACAGTACAGACTTCGCATACTGTACTATTG